CAGAAATGCGGCAGCCGATTCAGACGTCGAATTTCTGCCGAATTTAATTCGTTGAATTGAATTCGACACGGCAGAAATGCGACGTATGAACCGGGCCTAAGCCCTAATGCAATAAGTTGTTTCTAAGCAACACGCTCGCCGACTACTGCGTGCTCACAGTCGAGATTCCCACCGTAAATGACAGCCTAATGGTCACTGCTCAGACTTTTCCTTCTACTCACGTAATTACAATTTGGTGAGAAATTTTATGAAGTCCTCTAAACCCATCCCCAGAGCCTTACTCATTTCACTTCTCGCTTGCATGTGAGTGAAAAAGAATGGTACTTGTTTTCTGTCTAATTGAGTCTAATCTAACGTACAGGCGAGACCGATGAAGAATGAAGTAGACGTGAAAGCCTTCTAAAGAAGCAGTGGACCAAGCTGAAAGAGAAATAGCTAAATAAAAATGATGATTGTCTTGTCCTGTCCTGTTCTGTCTACTGGAGATGAGTACAAAGAGAGACCATGGATTCCTGTCCTCGATCGATATTAAGAAATCGATGAATCTGAGAACCAGCGTTACTGATTGCAAGGAAGGTAAGGTTCACCGCTTTCAGTTTGTACTAGCCTCTTCTAGGCGTTCAGGTAGTTGGGGCGCAGCGCGAAAAACAGCGCGCGAAAAAATAAAAAAAAGCGCTTCCTCTCGCGGCGCTTTTTTTAAATTATTTTTTCGCGTTTTTTTTTTTTCGCGCTGCGCCCCAACTGACTGAACGCCTGGAAGAGGCTAAGTTTGTACTGGTAAATGATGTGGCGGTACTAGTGGGGAGAGGGAGGCGCACTATACATTTGTTTTGCAATTGAAATTTGCAATTTAGAGGAAAGGATCTCTATGCAGTATATCCTTCATGGCATTAGTAATCATACAACTAAAGCCAATTAAACCTGACAGAACTAATCATCGTGCCCCTAAAACCCGAGATATCAACTATCATATTCTCTCTACTGCTCTCGAAGTTTTCCTTGTAAATTAGTTTGGAGACATTTACCTGTGTGGTTTTTGATGCACCCACTGAGTCGTCTTATAAATGAGATATTTAATTTCTGACTTGATTCATTCACTTTTTTCAGTTTTGTTCGGGATGCTAGTCCATCACAAGTGCGCGCCCTTGCCTGTTTTTTGTCAAGCAAAGCTACCTCAGCATTTTCCTGTCATGGATATTCCAAGCGAGAAATCAAGAAGCTGCTCCAAATTGTAATGCGATCGATGTGCAACAATGCAGTTGGCCACCAGTTGGCCACTCCCTGAGTGGAAGAAAATGTAGAGAGAAACCGGTTGTTGGTCTGTTGCGCGAAGGTTGGCTCTTGATTGTTTTGACGGCTAGCGTTCTCTCCTTATCCCCAATAAAAAATTTTACAGAAGAAAACGGAAAAGAGGAAGGCTGAATGTTGCAGAATCTTTTGTTGCTTGAGAATAAGCATTCATACTTTTAGTATAAATTAATATATTTTGTTTGTCAGGCATATGTGATCATATTAATTTAGATTTTAATTTGCGCCATATCAATTTTAAATATTATTGTTATTTCTTCTTATTATTATTATTAGTATTATTATTATTATTTATTATCATTATTATTATTTATTATCATTATTATTAATTATGGGAGGCGCGGTGGTCTCATGGTTAGTGCGCTCGTCTCCGGATCGAGCGGTCCGGGTTCAAGCCCTGGCTGGGGACATTGTGTTGTGTTCTTGGGCAAG